CAAGAACAGACAGGTGATAGTGTTTGGAATGGGTCCAAAGAGCTGGTTAAACGGGGGGGTTTATTATTTTCCAAACATTTCGGTTCATTTAGGCCAGGGTTAGCCGAGCTGTGCAGGATTTCTAATACAAGTCTTAGGATTTGGGTTCAACAGTAGGATGTTTGACTGGAAACCAGCACATCACAGTTAGTGTTGGTGTTTATTTTTGGTAGACAAAGCAAGTAATTACGAGTTTGCATTGGTTTTGATTCTTTCCCATGCCCATTCTGCTCTACCAAGTCCAACTCCAAACCAAACCTGAACATGTGAGTCCCAAACATTAACATGTTCGACTCTCTTATTCAAACACCGAACACCTTCTATGCCAACAAAGGCTCGACTCGAACCGAATGTGTGTAGTTTGGGTTTCAACCATGTTTGTGCATGTTGGAGGTGAACCAGTTCGGGTTCACCGTTTGCTCATGCCATGCAGATATCTGAACAGCGGTGGTCATGGGATGATATGGTTGGTCAATCAAAGAAATTCCAAAAGAAAATGGGCAGAGTAGTGCGGCAAAGACAAAACCAAATTGCAGAGCAATGAGAGAATCCAGCAAAGGTAAATGTTGAGAACCAGCTGCTGCGTCTATGTACGTGCTGGGGCCTGACATTTTAATTCATACCGGCACACAGCTGTGTGCAGCTCACAGGCTAGTCAATCGACTCAGACTGCCAAAACTGGAAGGGATGCTACCTGAAAGCTGGTTGTATGAAAGTTCCCTGTTAGGGTGTGGATAATGAAAAATAGATTGGCTTATGGGCATCAAAACACTCCACAGAGGAAGTAAAGGTGGAAGACATGGCAGCGCCTGGTTCAAATTGATCGGTGTCCCCAATTAAAAGCCGTCATCGAGGCTAACCACTGTTTGGTGAACTGCTCATGCCTAGCACAAGAGGCAGTGGATAAAGCCTGGAGGGATGGGGCTGGAGTGATTGTTAAAAAACAAGAGGCCTGAGTGGTGTGGTGGGCATGGCACGCAGAGGAATGAGCTCCAGGTGCTATCTTACTAGTGAGAATTGTGGAGAATTTTTTGAGAGCACGGCGAGAGTTGTGGAACATTCTAACTGCACAAAACACTCACACATGGCATTTGAAGTGCAGAATTGCAGAAGGATGATAGCAAAAGAGCAAGTTCAAGAGGGTCACATACAGATGTGTCAAACCAGTGAGGGAGGTGATGGATTCTAGGATGGGTCCAAAGAGCTGGTTGCGATGCAGGTATCTGAATGGCGGGTGATTATGTTATGGCAATTAGCCGATGACAATGAGCAACCTTGATTGAAAGCCGCTGAGAATCGCCAAGGGTGAGGGATATTCATGGTGAAGGAGATACATGTTACAAAACTTCATAAGAAGATGAGCAAAGAAAAGTGAAGCAAAAGAAGTATTAGTTCTGCAGTGGATGAAGCAAATGTTGGCATGTCTTGAATCCAGCGAAGAATACCAAATGTTGGTTCAATGCAGGTTCTTTCTCTTGGCATGTCTTGAATGAGACTGCCACACAGCTATGTGCAGCTCACAGGTAAGCTTATCAGCTCAGCTGCCAAAATTAGAAGAAAGGCTGCCTGAAAGTTTTATATTTGCAATGTCTATGAGAGCCTGTGTGGAGTACAAGGTATGGATGGGCTCATGGCCAATCCAAAATGCTTGGACAGGGAGGCGAAGTAAGGACAGTTGTGATTTTTACTCATATGTTTGAGCGAGTATCGAGGCGAGGAGGCCAGGCCCAGCCTCACTCGACTCTCTTCGATACATGACTCAAGCAGCCAACCGAGCTGGGTAATACTCAACTTGCCAAAACCTCATGTGTTGCAAGAGAAAAGTGGTAAAATGGCAGTGATGAGTGATAACGTGAACAGAACCCTCACACACACCAACAGAGCTACGTCAGAAGGCCGAGACGGGAGAGGGGGAGAGGGGAGAGGCGAGAGGCGAGCAGGGAGAGGGGAGATTGGAGACGTGAAGAGGGGATAGGGGAGTGAGAGGTGAGAGACGAGAGGGGACAGGAGTGAGCAGTGAGAGGAGAGGTGAGAGTGGAGAGGAATGAGGAGAGGGGATGCACCCTTGTTGGCAAGGAATGGGCAGCCAAAATGGCATGCAACAGCGTTGTGAAGCATGGCTGGCGATTGTATCATTGGCACTACGATAGCGGAAGCTAGTAGATTCCTACGGCTCTGGAGATTCGACATGGGGGAGAAGGATATTTTTCACGCTTGAGTTGGCAATAAACGAGTATGTTTTCTATACAAAGCTAAGCTTACGTATATGCGAGTGCTGTGAGGTTAGTGATTAAGGAAGGCAAGGTTCCAGACAGCATGTTGGAGCGGAGAGAGCTGTCAAATAGACCGGGAGGCACAGTGTGGGGGAAAATGGGAGAATCAATGGTAGGAGAACAGAGAAAATGAACTGTGATGCACAACAAACAAACAACAACTATCGACAACAGAATAGGGTATTACCTCAAAGAGCATCGCATGGCAATATTTTTAGCATGACAGGCAGGATAATAAGGTGTATGAGATGCAAGCATGAAGATATTCCTACAAGAAATCATCCAAACCACGGGGATGTTTTTATGGATACGGTTGGATGGGTTGGGGTTGGGGTTGGGGCTGGGGTTGGGGACCCAACCAACTCGGGATCAGACTAAAGATACAGATGCAGCTGATTTGTTTCAACAATTGAGTCAGATCAAACTGGGCAGTAAAGCGTTCTTCTGAACTGAGATATACAGGGAGGAAAGAAATGATGTAGATGTAATATGAGGGGTAGGGCTTACAGGTATACAAGTCTGGTCATGGAACCAATTTCAGCAGGGATGGAGCTAGAGAACTGATTTTTATACAGATACCTGAATGGAGCAACACCGAGATGAGATGCAAGGAGAGGCAAAGAGGTCCGGCTCAATCACCAAATTCACTCATTGGAAGAACCACAGCACGGTGAGACTTGAATGAGGAACAAAACAAACAAGCGCACAGGGAAATTTGCTCTAATGAAGGTGGAAAAAAACTGCTCACAGCATCTCCAGGTGCATCAGCAGCACATTCAGCAATCACCTTGTGCTACTTTGTAAAATGTTACAACAGTAAGTTATCATATTTATTGGAACTGAGTAATATATATTTTTATATAACTTTATAATCCACCCGTAATGTTATGTTGTTTTATCATTTCTATCGTCTTATTGAGTTGTTGTATGCAAAACCTTTGTTTTTGGTCAAGAATGGAGAAATAAATGCCTTTGATTTTTCACATAGGCTGTATTGAAGCTCACATGCGGACTCATAGCAACTTGTAGACAAGGGCTAACGTACACCATAGCTATACACACGGGTCAAACAAGAACCACCCTGTGCGTATGGGGCGGTAATCCGGGGCCGGCTACAATTGATCGAGATATTGCAGAGCATGGCTTCGTGCTGAGGTTTGACACGAACTTTGTGCTGAGCCAAGCTGGTCTGACTCAAACCATGGTGAGCGGGTTTGAGAATCAAAAGTGGTGAGAAAAAACACAAGGGAGCAATTAAAGGGGAGAGACAGAAGATAGAGAAAGAAGGGGAGAAGAGAACTGTCGACAAAATAACAAACACAATAGTAACAGCTGGGTGGAGACGGATTATGTAAGACCTTACAGATTTACCAATCTTGTGAGGGATGCAACGGAAGCAGGGACAGCACCATTGAGCTGATTGTTGCCAAGTAACCTGAGAAGAGGCACGAGCCAAGAGACAGAGCCATAGGCAGGGGGCAGTCGGTGGAGTGAGGAGGTGCACTAATAGTTGTTGCAAGCGACCAGAGTCAAGGTGACCAGATTCCGGGGGCAGACTGCTCTTCACTCAAGGCGAACTGGATTGAAGGAAGTAGCACTGTCCGGCTGCTACGTGATAGTTGTGCGTAGAAGACGTATGCCATGGCAAGGCCTTGATCTCGTGCCTCATGGCTTGTACGTTGCCTAGAAAAGGCTTGAACACTTGGATGGCGATCATGAGTAAGGAGAGGATGATAGAGGATGGAAGGGGAGAGGCGACATGAATGGGAGGAGAATGGGTAAGCTAAGGGTTGCAGAACAGACCCCAATTTTCAAGCTAAGGGCTACAGGAAGACAGTTCACTTCGCTTCCGAAGCGTGAAAGGAGATAGGAGGATTAGTGGGGGACTGGAGGGGCTTACAGAAATGCAAGTCTGGTCATGGAACCAATTCCAGCAGGGATGGAGCCAAATAACTGATTAGAGATTAGGGATTATGGAACACGAACTGTTCGTGTTCGACACGTGCCTTCGATAAACACCAATGTGTTCGTTGACAAATAGGCCCGTGACCAATTTTTAGGTCGCGGGCCTTGGTGTTTGGGCTGAGATTTGGCATTTCACCGTTACTTAATTGCAGGTCTAGCGCTACGCCGTTAGTTCAGTGCAGATCGTGAATTTCGCCGTTGCTGAAGTGCAGATCTAGCATTTCCTGTTGTTAAAGTGCAGATCGAGCATTTCGCCATTGCTTAAGTGCAGATCAAGCATTTCGCCGTTGCTTAAGTGTAGATCTAGCATTTCGCCGTTAGGCCTAGTTGCCCACAGCAAGCCACATTTGCCCCCTCTAGTTAGCGTACTCGTCTTTGAGGATGTCCTCTTTGCCTTCCTCCTCATCCTCTCCCTTTGTCTAGTCTTCCAGCCCATTGTATCCCGTCGGGATTGGAGGCTGCGCTCCAATCCCGGGCACCACATATGGCAAGATATCGGCGCGCATGTGCCAGATGTGCACAACATTCCAGTTGTGCGCAACATAGACCAAGTCCCTGCACTTGGCGGATCCGAGCCCGTTTCGACGTGCGGTGTGGACGGCATCCCATGATGACCATCCACGCTCACAAGGTGAGGCTGACTCGGACTGAGACAGCACCCGTACCGCGAGCCCCGCCACTCGTGGGGCATCAGTCCCATTCCACTGCCACCACTTCACCACGCTATACTTTTCCTCTTTCACCAGCTTCCTCTGCCACGGCTTTTGGCATTCCAAAAGAACCCTTCATGTCAAGGAACGCCCTCAGCGTGTCCCCCAGCTCAAGCAAGATGTCGCACGCGTCATCCCCTCCATCCCCGCGGCTCTCAAGGAACTCGGCTTGCTGGCTGATGAACGCCTTGAATACTCTCGTGCACTCGGGATCAGTGCCGAAAATATCTTCCTCCTGATTGGCGGGGTTGAGGATGCGGCCAGCGACATGCATAGCGCATGCAAGGCTGCCGTCCCAGCGGTCTCTGAGGATGCGGCGGATCTGGTCCTTGTCCCCAATGCTCAGCTGCTCCTCGTCCGCATCGAGCAAGTCCCCCACGTCCTCGGTCAACTGCAGCATCAAATCGTACATCCTCCCTATCATCCCCACGGCATGCCCGTCCGTATGCCTCATCGCCTTGTAGGGCAGCTTCAGCAGGGCGACGAAGAATTCGGCCGTCTTCCACCAGGCGGCATCATGGATCAGCGCACTGAACCCATCGCATGATTTCTTCCTGTCCCCTACCGCCCACTCCTTCCACTAGTCGCTCGTCACCATGTTGGTAAGGCTGCCACGCATCGCACATAGCCGGGATATGGCTAGGTAGTTGGTCCCGAATCGGGTTCCAGCCGGCTTCAGCGCCTGTAGAACCTTCCCCTCCACCAATTCCGGCGTCCGCAAGTATCCTCAGGTCCAATGGTGGTTGCGGGCGAAGCTTGATATCTCCCCTCCCTTGTCGACCACCGGCTTAGCCTATCCCATCTTCCCCACATCTTCCATGAGAAGGTCCAATACGTGAGTGGCGCACGGCACATCCTGAGTGTGCGGCCACTCCCGTATAAGTTGCTTCACCGCCACCACATAGTTCGACCCCCCGTCCATGCAGAACGCAACAACGTTCTCTGGACCCACTTCCTCCACCACGGGCCTAAGAATCCCCGCCACATAACCTCCGGTTTTCCTCTCCATGTTGCAGTCAATACAGTCGGTGAAGACGGCGCCGGAATCGTTCACGAGAAGCACGTTGGCCTGCGGCCTGTTGTTGCGGTCCGTCATCCTGTCGGATGAAACCGCCATGCTCGTCCTCTTCCAGCTCGCCTTAGTGCCCACCAAACCCTGCTCGATTCCGTTGCAACACGAGAGAAGGCCAGCACCGCCGATGTATTTCCTCTTGGGAGAGACGTAGTCCCCGCCGGCGCGTGAGACGTTGTTCAATGCATTGACCATCAGAGGATGGTCAATGTGGCGCTTGGGGATGTGGAGGGCGGCCCAAGCAAGCGCAAGTGACTTGTCCGCTTCTCTCTTTCTTGCAGCCGCATCCCCCTCAAGGTAATCGGTGATGCGCGCCCGCTTCCCACCGTTAGCCTTCACCGCGGCAACCACTTCAGCTGCTGCCCGCCTCTTTTCTTCGGCCGCAGCAGCCTTTGCCTCGTAGTTTGCGCGCATGGCCAGACACACATCTTGCGGCGCATCCTTGCAAAGCGCCACTTCACGGCGTTTCATCCCCTTCCACGAACTGAAGTGTTGCGCGCATCGGATGGCAGCACCAGTGAAGATGTTGCAGAATTTGCACTCGTACTGCTGAGCTTTTCCCTCGACCCTCTTGATGATGCGGAAGAGCTTGAAGACGGCATGGTCAACGTCGGGGAGATACTCCCGTTCCTCGGTTTGAAGAGTTTGCGAACTGCCAACGGTGGTTACTGACGGTGGCGTTGGAGGAGAGGTAGTAGTCGTCGACATAGGCACCATGCGCTAGGGAATGCCTAGTGCTCTGCTGGTAGCAAGAGAATACCTAATGAGTTGGATGTTAGGGGTGTGGGTGTTTTATAGCTAGTTGATTGTGTGAGTGGGAAGATGGCCAACAGAAGTTGGAGAGGTGTTGGTTGCGAAGGGTTTGAATGCGGTACTTTGAGTGAACACCAAAATGTGAGGGAACGTGCAGGCGCGACTCGACGAACATGACTTGCATTCGCGACACGAACTTTCAACCCACGTCCACGCTAGCACACAGTGCGGACATGCCATCTAACCCCGCCAATGTCTTCGTCGTGCAATTCCAAAGCAAACCGTATAGGTTGAAAATTTCCGGCCGGGCTGCCCCAAAAAAATATTGGCGAGCGTATAGCGTATTCGCTAGCGTATAGCGTTTTGCGTATACACGCTAGCGTGTATACGCTAAACGCAAACAGTTTTGAGCGTATATTCCCACTTAGGTCAAAATGTCCGACCCATTTCATTCCACCCAATAGGTCTTCCGACAAAGGTGGGTGGCGTTGCGAGAATTTTTAGGGTGCCAGAAAAAGAATGCAGCACGCGAGGAGATGCCAGCAGTCTACATTGCTGCCTGAGATGGGCGAGAGGAATCTTGGGGCGTCTATGGGTGCCAAGAGGAAATGGACCAACAGAGGTGCCATATTTTTTTATCTCCTAGGTGAAATGAGTCTGGGTTCCATTGTATGTGCTCAGCACAGAGGAGGGAGCTCAGCAACCTGTCATCACCACTCTCGGTGGCGAGGAAATGGACTTACAGGTATGCAAGTCTGGTCATGGAACCTATTTCGGGGATGGAGCCGGAAAGCCGATTGTTATGGAGAAACCTGAATGCAGCAACACACACAGAGATGATATGGAACGACAGGCAGAGAAAGATGTGAGCATGGAAATGGATTAGAGCCACTATTCATCTATGCAGGCAACCTTACATGGAATGATGGAGAATGCAGCCAGGTTGAGTCTGTCTCGTTGAGCCGGACCCGGCACATCACCCAGTTGAGCCTTGCCCTCCTCTTTTTGCCCACCTAATGTGTTTTTGACTTACAGGAGATTGAGTGAAGTGAGTGCGTTGACACTGGCAGGGATGCTGCCTGAAAACTGGTTGCTTGAAAGATCACTGGAGGTTCATAAAGAAAGTTGTAGAATGTCAGAATCCCAACAACTAGACCATTGGAATAAAAGGGCTTGTTTCAGTAGCGGGTCAGTGCGCCCATAACCCCCCAGGCGAACGCGCCTATAACCCTCTCCAGGATCAATCGGGCATCCACAGTGCAGATCTCTTGACACCCCCCCACACTGGGAGGCCCAGGACTAAGCACAGCGGCAACGGCCTACATGTGCATACACCGGGAATCGAACCCGAGACCGCTCTGATACCATGTCAGAATCCCAACCACTAGACCATTGGGATAAAGGGGCTTTTTCTCAGTAGCGGGTCAGTGCGCCCATAACCCCCTAAGCGAACGCGCCTGTAACCCTCTCTAGGATCAATCGGGCATCCACAGTGCAAATCTACTGACATAGAAAATCATCAGTTTTGCAGTGTCACAAAGTGGGCGAGCCGTACATGTATGATAGCATTCGATGTGTGGAGCAGGCAAAAACAGCCCATGAAACGAAGGAGAATAAAGGCGGACAGACTAAATAATTGTCAACTTGGACACTCTGAACACAAGAAAGACAAAGCATCAGATGACAGGTGGCACACCACCACAAGAAAGTGATGGAATGGGGATAGGAACAAAGATAAACAGGCAATAACAGCAGAAGACACAATGCAGACCAAAGGCAGACACAGATTTGCCATCCTGGCCGCACGAAAAAAGATTAAAGAAAATCCAACAGTTAACAACTGACACAATAGCACACCAATGTGATGGAAATGGAGGGGAGGTGAGGGGGGAAGGTGGGGAGGGGGGGTAGGGACCATGTTAAGAACGAGGACAAACAAATGAACAGGGTAGAATGCATAAAAATCCATACATAGTGACCAGCTTTGTGAGCACGCCAATGTTGGGGATGGGACCTGTGAGCTGGTTGCTAGCGAGGGTACTGTTCAGAAGAGGAGATGATTGGGAAGTGGAGGAGTGTGAAAGAAGAGGGGGAATAGTGAGAGAGATGGGGCAAGAGGTGCTAAGTGCGAGCAATTATGTTTCTGGATCCTGACAAATTTCTTCCCTCATAATGACTAGAATTTCTGATTTTTAGGCCAAAAGCATGTAAATGAACAACAACAAAACAATATCCATGCACCACCCTCAGGTTCTACTAACATCCCCTTCGAAATTTTGGTGAGGCAGGACCCTGGAAACGATTGAGATATACTTGACTGCAATAGAGTAAGTATCGCCAATGGTCCCTTACAGTTCCTTAAGCGCATTGGCTGGTTCGACGTGCAATTAGATTTGCTAGTAGGGTCTAAGTGTTTGATCTAGCCGTCCCACACAAAAGTATCACACGACATGAAACGATTTTAGTGTACTATATGCCATCACGATTGAAATTCACCTTTTTCTACTCAATACTGTAAACAGAATTATGATATTTTCTCTTTGTCAGCACTTGACACAGAGAGAGCGTAGGCACACAATACGGCCAGCCACCCCCTGCTTAGAGTTGAGCAAAAAAACGAAGGCAAACCGAACAGGTTTTGTTTTTAGTTTAAAATGTTCGTGACAAACGTGTTCGAGGTTCGCCCGAACATGCTCGTGTTCGGGCCGCTGCTGCAATTTGCCCCGCGTCGAACACGAACGTGTTCGAGGTTCGCCCGAACACGCCTTCACAGGCGAACACCGAACATCTGTTTTTTGCTAAAAGTGTTTGCCGAACCGAACAACAGTGTTCGGTTCGGCGAACGGCTGTGTTCGTGCAGGGGCGAACACGAACGTGTTCGTGTTCGCCCCTTGCTCATCCCTTCCCCTGCTAGACGTCAATCCAGTTCCTATGGGTACTTACAGGCTGTTTGGTGGGCTTCTAGAGTCGCCTAGGTATCTCACTTATGTCCCACCACTTACATGCTTCCAGTTGTCGTCTTCCTAGCTATAGGTTAGTCTCATTAGTCCATCCATGGCCTACACTTGCTGTACCGTTTATTATATTCAATGAAAAGGACCATTAGAGATTTAAGAAACAACAAAGAGACAAACAAAAACAAAGATAGTATGGGCACTAGTTTAATATGATATGAATGCATGATGCATCAGAAGGGATATTTTGGTTGGCCTAGCCAAGTTACAAAAAAGTGAGTGCAGTGAGCTGTGTGATCGAGGAGGGCACGGATCCCGACAACTTGTTTGAGCTGAGAGAGCTGATGGCGGTGTGGAAGGTGGAGGCGCAGGAAGAAATTAGGCAAGTCCACTTGAGGATGCAGGAGCAGAGGCAGATGTTGGAAAGAACTAGGAAGGCCACGGAGAGATAGGTATGGTAGCAAGTGGAGGAAATGGAGGTAAAGAAGTGGAGAGAGGGAGAGAACATCTAAAGGGGATGAGAGAGATGGGATTGAACCAATGTTCACAGGGGTTGAATTTCTCACCCTACTACTCCAAATGTGACATGTGATTGCATATGGAGATGAGGTACTGGAATAGAAAAGGAATAAGCAGATGGAGTGCTAACTGGGTAAGCACACGAAGGGCATTGTTGAAATGAGGATGACTGGATGTTTGCGTGAGTCATGGATAAAATAGGAGAAGTGACCAGGAAAGGGTTTCAAACAGGGAGAAACAATTAGGAAACGCACAAACAGAACACAAGCGGTGGGCAGGAAAAATGTTACGAGGTAAGGGGCTTACAAAGATGCAAGTCTGGACATGGAACCAGTTTCAGCTGGGATGGGGCCAGAGAGCTGATTTTTGAAGAGGTTTCTGAATGACGCAACACAGAAATGAGATATAACGAGAGGCGGAGGCTGAGGTGAGCAGGGAAAGGGAGCAGATGTTCAAATCTATCCAGACGAACAATGGATGGAATGATAGTGATGTGCATAACGAGTATTCAGCTGAGTTGAGCATGGCTCGTTGAGCCGGATCCGGCACTAGCCAAGCCAATCCCTTCTTGCCTTTCTCATTTCTGTATGACTCACATGAAAGTAAGTTGAGTAAGAGCACTGACACTGGCAGGGATGCTGCTTGAAAGCTGGTTGCCTGAAAGATCTCTGGAGGTTCATAAAGTAAGCAACAAATTTCTAGCCAATGATCAATGGAATTTCGAGTCCTCACAAAGTGAGTAACCCGTTAAACGTATAATACAATTTATTATGTTAAAGAGGCAATAGTAGCATAGTATGCAAAAGGAGGGCAGACAGACTAAAAGAAACGTCGTCTTTGGCATTCTGAACAAAAGAAACAAGAAAAAAAAAACAACAGATTTCAAGCCATGCGAGAGCACAACAAACTGATGGAAGGTGGGTAGGGACCAGGCTGAACAAGAGAGCCAAGAAGGTCAACGGAAATCTAGTACTTTGAGAGGAACGAATGAAGGAGAGAGGAAGACGGTAGCAGCAAGGAGTACGAGCATAATGCAGAACATAATCAGCAGCGATATAATTCCACCCGTATCCATACAAAGCGATCAGGCTTGTGAGCACGCCAATCTCAGCGGGGATGGGACCGGTGAGCTGGTTGCTAGCAACGGAGCTGTTTAAGAGAGGGGGATAAGCAAGAAGCAGGGAAGTGTGCAAAGGAGACGGCATAGAGATGGGCAATGGTGAGAGAGAGGGTATAGGTTGACACATACGGCAACACATAATACTACGTACAAGGTGAAAGCCTTTGATTTTAGAGAACCCAGCAGTTGTAGATCTGTACAACCCTCTAAAGCCTAAACCAGAAGTTCCAACTGGTTTTACAAGAGAAGTCACAAATTAATAGGACGCCGGAATAAACAAGAAACGAAACAGAAACAAACTCTTTGACCTGCATGTTCCACTAATGTCCAATCAGAACTTCGGGTGGGGCAGGACCCTGGAAAAAACTGAA